AATTATTCCAGAAACAGAGTAAAAAGATAATATGTGATATTATGGTTATGGCTGAGATGGCACTTTCAGCCTAGGTTCAATGATTTGTAACTTTATTTGGAAAAAAAAATGGACCTTATTCTTCCCAGTGCTTAAAGGGGTTTTTAAATTCTATTTTATTTATTTATTGAATAGGGTCTGTGACCCACTCCCTATTTTAAGCAGTTTCACCTTGCGCCTTGTGTAATTTTTATGCTTGTGCTAAATGGGCATAAAATGCTACTGTTATGGGTTGAGTTAAACCTCCTTTAAACTGATGGTTGTCATATCTGCCTTTTATTATTGATACATGTAAGAAACAATTAAGCTTCTTTATGGAACCAGATAGAAGAAACAATAACAGCCTTCACCCAAAACAAAGGCACATCACCGCCCAAAACATAGGCAACTGCAAGACATATAAGCAAAGGGGTTTGCCTGGGTATTGTTTGGTGGTGATGTCTGTGCCTGTCTCTGAGAGAGAAGCAGGAGAAACAGCACAGAAGCTGAGAGGGAAGCAGCAGAAAGCCAAGGTCACACCTAGAACAAGCACTGGGAACACTGCAGAAATGCCTGGAGAGAGCTTTTGGGCTAGGTGTTGAGCGGGCTAGGGGCTTGGAACTGTGAGGAAAAAAACTCTTCTGTTGTTTAAATCCTGCTGTGTTCAGGGAAACAAGATATGCTGTACTTTCTTAGTAGATAAGCATAACTGCATCAATATCAGCTTAATTGTTTCTGACATGAATCAATAAATGAAACAAACCACTAATTTTGGCTAAGTACTAGGGTTAAAAAGGGGTAGCACTATTACCCATGAATGTGAGTGCAAAATTCTGATTTGGTAGCATTTTACATCCACTTTGCACAGCAGTAAAAAGTCAGGCCCTATGCTTTCAGCTGAAAAATCTTATGCATTATTTCAGCCTGTTAGAAAATTGCCCTTGAATTTGTATTTATACTGCCTGGAGCCTAGAAAAAAACCCTGCTGGCAACTCACAAACAGAAAAAAGGCTACATTTGTGAAATAAAATTGTTCACAGTTAATTGTTTGAGTAGCTGTTATAACTGAGCTAAAACAGTGGTCCAAATCTGCTCTTTACTCACAGAATTTAGTCCTATTAACTTCTGTAGGACTACTTGTGTAAGTAAAAGGGGCAGGATTTGATCCACTATATTCAGAATACACAAATTTTGCTTTCTTTGATAACTAGTGCATATTCCAGGTATATAAATATTATCCATCCACCTTCAACATTTGCACTGGATTGATCCTAGGAGATGCAGTACTCTTTTTTTTGCAGTGCAGCGGTTTCAAAGGTTGTTTACCTGGTGACATGAAGTACATACTGGCACCTACAGACCCAGAGAGTGCAAAACTTTGAACTGAATGTGAGGTCTAATGATTGCACATGAAACTATAAGTCACGAATATCTCAGATGCATTTACAGGAAAGGGACTTTTTTGTAATTGAGAGCCAACCGGCTGAAACTGAACATGGAATCATTCACATTAGGTATTGTACATTAGGAAAATACTTTAAATGAACGCATTGAATCACTTTCATTAGATGTATCCAAAAATAGTTTATATACAGCCTAATGGGATGTCTTTTAGAGAAAGATTGTGAGGAAGGGACTGATGATCTGAGATATCTTTTCCAATCCCAGCTCCTTCCATATGCCTTCCTTTCCATATGATACAGAACTGTTCTGTCAAAATCTTCTCCATAATTGAAGCTGCATGACATTTGCTGAGACTTATGATACTAGAAAAGCTCTAATTTATATATTCACATTATTTGTGTGTTCCATTTTAAAATCACTGAAGCTAAATAACCTTGTTGTAATCCCTTCATCATTCAAACTAGTTTTGTAGGGTCCCAATTAGGGCTGCCGATTAATCACAGCTAACTCATGTGATTAATTAAAAAAATAATTGTGATTAATCAGTTTTAATCGCACTGTTAAACAATAGACTACCAATTGAAACTGATTAAATATTGTGAATGTTTTTTCTACATTTTCATAAATATTTTATTCTGTGTTGTAACTGAAATCAAAGTGTATTTTATTCTTGATTGCAAATATTTGCACTGTAAAAATGATAAACAAAAGAATTAATATTTTTCAATTCATCTCATACAAGTAATGTAGTGCAATCTCTGTGTGTAGATTTTTTTTGTTACATAACTGCACTCAAAAACAAAACAATGTAAAACTGCGGAGCCTACAAGTCCACTCAGTCCTACTTCTTGTTCAGCCAACTGCTAAGACAAACAAGTTTGTTTACATTTACAGGAGATAATGCTGCCCTCTTCTTATTTACCATGTCACCAGAAAGTGAGAACAGGCATTTGCATGGCACTTTTGTAGCCGGCATTGCAAGGTATTTACATGCCACATATACTAAACTTTCATATACCCCTTCATGCTTTGGCCACCATTCCAGAGGACATGCTTCCATGCTGATGATGCTCATTAAAAAAATAATGCGTTAATTAAATTTGTGACTGAACTACTTGGAGGAGAATTGTATGTCCCCTGCTCTGTTTTACCCACATTCTGCCATATATTTCATGTTATCGCAGTCTCAGATGATGACCCAGGACATGTTGTTCATTTTAAGAACACTTTCACTGCAGATTTGACAAAACACAAAGAAGGTACCAATGTGCGATTTTGAAAGATAGCTACAGCACTCAACCCAAGATTTAAGAATATGAAGTGCCTTTGAAAATCTGAGAGGGACGAGGTGTGGAGCATGCTTTCAAAAGTCTTAAAAGAGCAACATTCCAATGAGGAAACTACAGAACCTGAACCACCAAAAAAGACAATCAACCTTCTGCTGGTGGCATCTGACTCAGATAATGAAAATGAACATGCGTCGGCCCACTCTGCTTTGCATTGTTATAGAGCAGAACCCATCATCAGCATGGACACATGTCCCCTGGAATGGTGGTTGAAGCATGAAGGGACACATGAATCTTTAGCACATCTGGCACGTAAATACCTTGTGATGCCGGCTACAACAGTGCCATTGCAGTGCCTGTTCTCATTTTCAGGTGACACTGTAAACAAGAAGCAGGCAGCATTATCTCCTGCAAATGTAAACAAACTTGTTTGTCAGAGTGATTGGCTGAACAAGAAGTAGGACTGAGTGGACTTTCAGGCGCTAAAATTTTACATTGTTTTATTTTTGAATGCAGTTATTTTTTGTACATAATTCTACATTTTTAAGTTCAACTTTCATGATAAAGAGATTGAACTGCAGTACTTGTATTAAGTGAATTGAAAAATACTATTTCTTTTGTTTTTCTTTTACAGTGCAAGTACTTGTAATCAAAAATAAATATAAAGTGAGCTCTGTGCACTTTGTATTCTGTGCTGTAATTGAAATCAATATATTTGAAAATGTAGAAAACATCCAAAAATATTTAAATAAATGGTATTCTATTATTGTTTAAAATGCGATTAATCATGATTATTTTTTTTAATCGCATGACAGTCCTAGACCCAATATAACCCTGTGAAGTGCCTTCACGGATAATGCATTACTGTTTTTTTAAATAAACATTGCTTGGTCAGTGTTGAAACTCTGAGATGATGGGAGGTTTAGACTACATGGTAGATGCATCTAGTTAGATGCAGTTAACAGGATGATGCTCCCACACAGTTCTGTAAAGTTCTCTGCGGGTTCTTATCTTCTAGTGTCCATGTCTTCTTCTGTTCATTGTAAATACTAATGAGGGTCAGTGAGGTCTCTCAAAACATTATATGATATACTTGTAAGTCATACTTTAGTAGCCACTGAAAAGTCAACATTTACCAACAGATTCCACAGTTACTCAAGTTATATTGTATTCTAAACATAGTAGGAAACTGGTATCACATATACAATTGTATGCTAATCTGACAAATAGTGAATTTTTAATATTGACCACTTGTTATCATAAAACATTCTTCTGTAAAATTGTTATCATCATATGGAGGACTGTTCTATAAGTTTGAGCAGGTTAGCTGACATGATGCTGATCACAACACTGCAGTCTGCATACACCAGGACAAATTGAATTCAGCATCTTGTCAACTAATTGTGATTCTGAATGTTATTTGTACTGGCTTACATTTACCTCAGAGTCATTCTCAGCACGTAGCACAGTGTGTAACAGTACTTTTATTTCCTTCCATTGGAGTCTGCCTATCAACTGCTCATCTCCTGCCCATGTACCAACCATGAGTAAAAATGAGAAGGAGAACTGGCAAAGCTCTTGCCTGAGAGCCAGGACAGAGGGTGAAATGAAGCATATAGACAACAAGGAAGCCACTTCGGATTCCGACTACCACCAGCCACAGGCAAGATGTGGGAGAACCAGAAGGGTAACAACAAAGTCCACACCCCAAAAAAAAAATGAAAAGAGGGGAACAAAGGCAGAGAATGAACAGAAGCTTCTTCAGGACTGTGTCTGTTGTCAATGCACCAGCATGAGGAGACAGGAGCAAGGGAGTATAGCTCCTCAGCCACAGAACCCAGAGAGAGAAGGCCAACTAGCGGGGCTTCGATTTATAAAAAAGAAAGAAAACACTCCACTGAAGTTTTTGTCAAAGGCTTCCCCACTCACCTTTTCCCTGCAGATTTCAGGGAGGGATACAATTTACCTGGACCAAACCATGAATTATGTATCACATCTTTTCATTCAAATTCCAACAAAGTTTGAATTAATGTATTTAAGATTATAAATAGACAAAAGATCCATCCATAAAATGTGTATCTGGATCTGGCTGCAGAGTCTGAACCCTGAACTCTGCACCAGATGTAGGGTTTTATCTCAGGCCTATTTCTAATTCTAAACAGAGAAAAGTACTAATATTACTTACCTTCTGCGTGAAAATCAGGACTTAACTGACTTTATAATAGTTGGGGAAATCATTACTTTAAAGATCATAGTTAAAAGTATGTCCTTACACCAGAAATCACTACTTACCAACTACTGACATTTCAGGAACACTAGCAGTATATATTTCTTCTGGAAATGTTGGTTCATTGTCATTAATGTCATGGATTTTTATGACAAACTCTGACTCAGGCTCCACTGGCCTCAGAGTTCTTCTGTTAATAGCCTGGGCACGAAGGGTGTAAAAGGCTTTCTCCTCCCTATCAATCCTCCGAGTGGCATGAATGTCACCTGTTTTCTCATCAATAATAAAAAGAGTACCAGCCCCATCTCCTGATAAAATGTACTTGAGAGACCCATCTCCCTTGTCCTGGTCAGAGTGAAGCTAGAGGAGAGAGAGAGAGAGAGAGAGAGAGAAAATATTTTTAAAAAGGGGGTCAGTTTTTTTAAGACATGAAGTCATTCTGCATGCAAAAAAACAAGATGAGGACTGAAAAAAACACTCATTTTCTATTTCATAGAATATCAGGGTTAGAAGGGACCTCAGGAGGTCATATAGTCCAACCCCCTGCACAAAGCAGGACCAATCCCCAGACAGATTTTTGCCCCAGATCCCTAAATGGCCCCCTCAAGGATTGAGCTCACAACCCTGGGTTTAGCAGGCCAATGCTCAAGCCATTGCAGTCATTATGCTGTATTAAAGCATTCACGTCTCCCTTACTTAACACAAAGAGTCATTTCACTAGACTGATGTGGCAGATTTTAGTTTTCCAGCAACACCTGTTCTCTGCTGTGAAACGTTTGTGCCACAAATCTTAAAGAAGAATTTTATGTTAATGTTGACCTTTTCTTTCCTTGAAGAGAGCCTATTAAAAATTCACAACCTGCTGTGTTAGTTGTAAATTGACTAAGCAGATAAAGGACATGGCAGGATACATGACAATTAAGGAAAACAGAACAACTGGTGGTGTGTCACACAATTTTTAATTTTTTTATTTCTTATTATTTATGTTTCCTTCTCCTAAACTGGAGTACATTTCAGTGTAACTCATTATCACTTTTATGCCCTTCAAATAGTTTAAATGGGTTAAACCAAAAAGCAACAGATTCATTAAGCAATCAGTATTGATTTAAATCAGATTATCTAGATATCTTTCTTTACTAATGACTTCTAACATTGGAAGAGCCCTAATGCAAAACGTTTTGCTATTTTTTACTGTACTGAAATGCAATTGGCTAAGCCAGAATGTTACACTCAACACCACCTCCCCGCTTCCTGTTACACAATTCCCTGCTATCTCATTGAGTCCGTTATGTCTGATTTGCAGAACTGAATAATTCAATTTATTTTCACCCTGAAATGTATATTTTAAATTTCGCAGATGTGTCATATCTGATAAAGGCCCCAATATTATTTTTTAAAGCATCTCTAATCTGCTTCTGATTTTGTGGCCACGATGTTGAGCATGGAATTTTTAAAAAAAAAAAAAAAAACAACCACCAACTCTTTAAGCCCATTTAGTGAGTTCAAGCAACCATTGGCAAAATTTATGATCATTGTAAACATGCAGTTACGTGCCTCACTAACTTATTTGTGCATTTAATGACACTGTACATAATAGTTAACAACAATAACATTAATTTATAGGTGCAAACAGTTGGACATCTAAACACTATAAAATGTGTCCACAATTATTTGCACCATCACATTTGTTGCAACATTTATTTACAGGCACAAAACTGTAGCAACAAAATCAAAGTTCACTTAAAAAAAAATGGTCAGGCCGCAAGAGTATTCGAATGATCCAAAAAGTTTCACACATGAAATAAAACTAGTGCAGCACTTTGGGCTTTTTAACTTAACTATAGTTAGGGAAAACAGCATAGCAATATTAAAGTAGCATTGACTACTTATAAGAATACCATCTTCAATCATATAAGCTAGGATAACAAAAATATGTTCATGCTTAGGGAATAAACTGATCACACACTTAGATCAGGTATAAATATTCTTTCATGGTATCCAGTTATTACATGTGTTTTCCTGGTGCACTATGTTGCTTTCATATTTTCCTCTAAAGAATCTATTTCAGGCCAATATCAGAGGCAAAATTCTAGACTAGATGGACCACTGGTCTGCTCTGATGTAGCAATCCTCAGGTGTCCGTGCAGAAACCAAATGAGTTCAATGGAGCAGAGGGATGAAGTAAAGGTCAGACGATTAATTACTCTTGCTGTGGTAAATTTGCAGAAGCTGAATTTTTCCCACACACTCATAATGAGCAGATCCTGGAGAAGGGAAGGAACTCATGCAGGATCTAGGATCAAAGCCATTATCAGCTTAGAAACTGAGAAACTTAGAAAATTGATTAAATGTTATTGAACTTTGATTAGAGCCATTTTCCCATTCTCTCTTGATTCACAATAACTAACAGTAAGCGTAAGCACAGAGCAAAGAATTACAGATTAAATTTTGCTTGAGCTAAAAATAAACAGTGTACACAAAACAAATGTTTGTCATACATCTCCCTTTTTCTACAAAAAAGGAAGACAGTCAGGGACAGCTGGCACCATCTAACAGGAAGAAAGCAAGGAAGGTAATTCTAAGGGAAGACTCTTCTATGTAAGCTCCAAGTCCTCTTCTTTCCCCCTCCAGTTTCTTTGCCCTTACAACTTGGAAGTCTCAACCTCTCCTCAGGCTCCTTCTCTTCCACCTCTTCCTTGCTTTCTAATTTTCTTCCCTGGTTTTCTCCTAGACCTACCCAAGGACGAAAAGAAAATCTCTCTGACAGTTCCTTCAGCTATGTGCTTCCGGGAGGGTGGGGGGGAGGGCAGAGTCATGATACACACTATCCCTGGTGCTCTATCATGGGAAGGGAGAAGAAGAGACTGAGATAAATTGAATTACCAAAGAGTAACTCTCGTTTTGAAGTAGTTTTTTGGCATGCAAACAAATGTGTCTGCAAACATCTGGGGTACATGGTCCCAACCATGCAGGAAGAAACACAAGATGCAAGGGATGTGGTTACATTAGGCCACAGCTTTATTAATGCACCTGGGAACTATCCAGCAATAACTTGTACAATACATGTCATCATTCCTTCCCAAAAAGTGCCCACCAATTTGAGAGATGCTGTCAGCTCTCCCTGATGAGACCCCACCACCCTCCTGTAATATGAGAGTTCTGGGGCTGGGGAAAAGGAGTTGTCTCCCTGCTGTACCAGATATAGGACCCAACCCCTTCCTTAGCTTCAGTAGGGCATGCCTTCCCCTATGTTATGGTGGCCCTGCCTGGGGTGCCCTCCTATGGCAGGCCATGGCACAAAAAGTGTGCCTACCTCAGTATCCCCTTTTCTTCTAGAGTCCCCAATAACTCCATACATGCTTCTACATGTAAATGGCCCTTTTGTGGGGTTAGTTTATTACAAAAGTCCCACAATCATAATTCAAAATTCCCCAGCACAGTTCAAATAGTACATTCACTCTTTCAAGTCCCTACAGTCCATCAATACACCAAATACAGCTCTGGCTTTTCTCACTGTGCCCCAGCTCCCCAATGCAGCTTTGACTTCTCTCACTGCACCTCATAACCGCCCCTTTAGCTGGGGCATTTCTCTGCCCTGTTTCCCTATAGTTCCAGCTCCTGCCCAGAGACATCAGTGAACTCACCCCTCCATCATCCCCCAGACTTCAGCCCTCCAGCTCAGAGAGCTAGCAGGCATCTCCCTCTGTTGCTCTGAGGCTTCATCCCTTTCTGGCTGTGGCTCGGTGTCCTGGGGAAGTTTGTAGGTGGAGCCCTCTCAAGTACCTCATGTTTTCATCAGCCTGGTCTGGTTTGCTGCTCACTAAGAAACTTTCCCTGCTCCCTCCTTCAAGGGCAGCCCCTTCCTGAAGCTCTCAGCCCAACTCTGCCTTTCTTCTGAGCTCTCTTGTTCTCTGAACTCTGGATTCCAAACTCTGTTGCCTTTGGACTGCCTGTCACTTATAACTCCCTGGGGCATCCCCACTCTCCCCATTACACCAAACTAGGGTGCAGCAGGACTGCAACAGGAGAAGCTGGCCCAATTTCATTTAAGGGGCCAGGTACCATGTTATACTTCCCTAAATGCACTTCCAATTCTGGTTTATCAGAAAACTGGACCGCCCTCTGGAACAAATACTTCCACTTGACAATTGCCACCTGCTAAGTTGTGACAACTTGAATGATACTTCCTGACCCTACCCCCATGAGATCCTGGAGCTGCTGTGGAGTAGGTAAAAAAAACTCACGCCTGCCCCAGCCAATCTGGCTATGAGCGAAAAATTCTCTCAGTCCCAAAAAGGTTAGTTGTACAAGTCCCCCAGCAAACCAAAAAACCTGGTTCTATGCTGATCCAATTAGAAAAAAGGGTTCTGACTGGAGTGTCAGGTGTACATATACCTTTCCTCTCCCCTAGGTGCTCAGGGGCCCAGTGTTGGCAGATAATTACAGTATTTACGCGACATATTTACTAGGGTGAATCCTAAAAAATTTCAAAAAAAAAAAAAAAAAAAAAAGTTTGGAACTTGGACTGTACCTATTTTTCATATTGCTAGACACTCTGGATAAAGCCAATACAGAATGGAGATAGACACATAGTTTCCCATTTCTTTATAGTAGGGCGGTTCATAATAGTCACAATAGTACTTTAAACTCTTTTGTTATGAATTTAAAATGGGACTCTGTTTCTCCAAAAGGATCACAAACCTATGCTCAGTTTCTAAGATTTGTCATATTTCAAATGGTCTCTCAGCTGCTACGTATATGCAAAAAGTACTTAATAAACTGCTGATGAAAATTTGGGAAAAGCCACAGCATTTAGTCAACAAAGAGTGTCTTCCTCTACAGCACCCAAATGCACCAGAAGTAGTTAAATAAAGGACTTTGAGGACACACCTATGAATGTTTTGGTGGTGGCTGGCTGCCCTACTGCAGAGCAGAATATTTAGAAAGAGGTTGAAGTTCCCACACTTAACATAAAGACTTCAGAAGAACTCCTGGGAGGACCTATCACCATGGTGTTACAGACACTGCAGGGGCAGTATGCTGGCACCCAATCCTACTCCAACACCAAGCACACGTTAGTGTAGGGTGCTCACTCTCCCCTTAAGCTTCATGGCCTGTAGGTCAATCTACAGGTGGCAATTAGAGGAGAAAAGCAGTAAAACACACAGACGTGAGATGAGGACGTAGACTGTATTCTAGCTCATTCTGTAAGCACTGCCACATGTCAAAAATGAAATAACTTCTGCAAGGTGCTACAGCCTTACTCTGTTGTGAGATCAAAAGCAGGTCCTCTGACACTGACTTCACATAGCATTGTTGCAAAGAAAAAAAAAGACCCCCCCCCCTCTTTTTAGTAAGAT